GGATGGAATGGGCTGCACTGACCCCCCAGTACTGGATCCCCTGGGAATGGGCTGCACTGACACCCCGTCGGGACAGGGACTCCCCCAGCCTGGTCTACACCGACTCCCCGCGCCCCCATTCCCCAGGATCGGGCTGCACTGACACTCCCACCCAGACCAGATCCCCTCCCCCGGGCACTGGATCCCCCCCAGGATCCCCTCCAGGATCCCCCCCAGGATCCCCCACACCGACCTTCCCCACACTGAGCCCCCAGGACAAACCATGCCCTGACACCACCCCCCCCGTCCCCCTTCCCCTCGTGGGGATCCCCCAGAACGGGGGTCCCAGTGCTCCCCACACCTGGCCGGTGCAGATGGTCCGACTGGTCCCGGTGGGTGCCGGTGGCAGGAGGGGGGACAGTCACGGAGCGCCCGCTCTCACCCACTGGGTGCTGTGACCACACTGTGCCTGTGATGTCAGGGACACCCCAGGGCTGCGGTGACAACGGGGACAAAGTTCAGTGCCACACGGCCACGGGGCACAGTCCAGGTGGCACCCTGTGGCACCCTCAGTCCCAGCACCTCACTGGCACCCACCCCGCTCTCCCAGCCCTCCGTTGGGACCCTCCCTGGGGGTGCCCCTCGCTCTGCCACCCGTGCCGAGCCCCCCCTTGGGTGGGCCCAAGGCACCACGACAAGCTCTGAGTCATTTTTAAGGCCAAAAAAGTTGTTTTCTTCCTCTTTCAACTGGTTTGAAGCCGTTAAAAGACACGAAACCCCAACACTCCCAGGGCTTGGGGACGGGCACAGGCCGCGCCCTCCACGTGCCACCGTCCCCACACGAGTCCCTGGCAGCGACATCGGGGTCCCACGCTGGGTCACCGGGTCCAATCCTGCCGGGGTCGGGGTTCCCAGGCGCGGGCGCTCCCCCGGCCCCGCGGTGCCCGTGGCACTGAGGTGCCCGTGGCTCAGCGCTGGCTGCACACCCGCGGGGCAGCGGGCGCCTGGCGCGTCCCCCCGACGGTGACACAGCCCTCCCACTTGGCCATATCCACCGGGGCGTCCTCGGGGTACTCCACCAGCGCCGGGGCGAAGGGTCCCACGAGCCAGGGCAGGGGCATGTGCTGCCCCACGTGCTCCAGCAGCTCCTCGATGCCCAGCTGTGCCCGCGCCACCCCGTCCCGGCTCTGCGCCAGCACCAGCTCCGACAGGTCGTGGAAGGAGCGGGCGCGGGCCAGGGCGGCCTGGACGCCCTCCACGCCGTGCCGGACGTGCCCCGCCGTCTCCTGGACGCTGCTGGGGAAGGCCCGGGCGCCGGAGGCCAGGCGGGCACAGGCGCCGTGGAGCTGCTGCAGGAGCCCCCGGAGCATGGCCAGGGCCCGAGCCTCCACCTGCGGGGCACCGGCGGGCACGGGGGGCTCCAGAGGGGCTCCAGACCTTGGTGTCCTCCATGGGTACGGCCCCCCACCCCATACCGTGGTGTGCTGGCCCCTCAACCCATCCTGTGATGTCCTGGTCCCCCACCCCATACCGTGGTGTCCTGGCCCCTCAACCCATCCTGTGATGTCCTGGTCCCCCACCCCATACCGTGGTGTCCTGGCCCCTCAACCCATCCTGTGATGTCCTGGTCCCCCACCCCATACCGTGGTGTCCTGGCCCCTCAACCCATCCTGTGATGTCCTGGTCCCCCACCCCATACCGTGGTGTCCTGGCCCCTCAACCCATCCTGTGATGTCCTGGTCCCCCACCCCATACCGTGGTGTGCTGGCCCCTCAACCCATCCTGTGATGTCCTGGTCCCCCACCCCATACCGTGGTGTGCTGGCCCCTCAACCCATCCTGTGATGTCCTGGTCCCCCACCCCATACCGTGGTGTGCTGGCCCCCCAACCCATCCTGTGGTGTCCTGGTCCCCCAACCCATCCTGTGGTGTCCTCCACAGGTACAGCTCCCCACCCCATCCCATCCCTTGGTGTCCTCCATGGCCACAGCCCCTACCCCATATCCTGATGTCCTCCACAGCTATGGCCCCTCACCCCACACCTGACTGTCTTCCAAGCCCAGGGCACATCTTGGTGTCCTCCACAGGCATAGCCCCCATAACTCACTGTCTTCCACAGCCACAGCCCCCCACCCCATCCCTTGGTCCCCTCCACGGGCATGGTCCCCCTCCTGCATCTTGATGTCCTGCACAGCCGTGGCCCCTCACCCCACACCTCACTTCCAAGGCCATAGCACACCACCCCACCCCATCCTCAGTGTCTTCCACGGGTACCCCTGCCCTGTACCTTGGTCTCCTCCATGGGCACGGCCCCCCACCCCAATACTTTGATGCCCTCCATGGGCACAGTCCCCTGTCCCATACCTTGATGCCCTCCATGGCCACAGCCTCCCACCCCATACCTTGATGTCCTCCAGGGCCACAGCCCCCCACCCCATACCATGGTGTCCTCTACGGCCACGGTCCCCTGTCCCACACCTCGATGTCTTCCACGGACACAGCCCACCCCTCCATCCCCGGGTGTCCCCCGAGGTGCCCCCCATGCCATACCTCACTCTCCTCCATGGGCACACCCTCCTGCCGGCTCCACTCCAGCCACAGCCGGTGGAGTCTCTCCCGGGAGCCGCTCCGGGGCCCGTCGGAGCCGCGCTGCCCCTCCTCGATCTGGGGGAGGTTCAGCCGGGTGGGAGCACACCCAGGGGGTGCCGGGGCTGGCCCGGGGCTGCCCTGGGGCTCCCCGTGTGCCACGTCCTTACCAGCTGGATGAGGTGGTGGAGCTGTGCCAGCAGGTGCTGGGCGCTGTGCCGTGCCCGCCGCAGCTCGCCCAGCGAGCGCCGCAGGGCCCGGTGCCGCAGCTCGGCCGACAGGGAGCCCACGCGGACAAAGCAGCTCTGCCACCGCCTCTGCCACCCCGGCGGGGACACCACCGGGCCCGGGGCCACCTCTGGGCCTGCTGTGCCCACCTCCGTGCCCGGGGCCACCTCCGGGCCTGCTGTGCCCACCTTCGTGCCCTGGGCCACCTGTGCACCTGCTGTGGCTGCTGTGGGACCAGGGTTGAGGACAGCGTGGATGGACCATCCTGTGCCAGGCACTGGATCACCCCATGCTGGGCACTGGATCACCCCGCAGCAGGTACTGGATCACCCCATGCCCAGCACTGGTGTGATCCCTGCACCAGGCACTGGATCACCCCATAGTGGGCACTGGATCACCCCATGCCCAGCACTGGATCCACCCCACACCAGGCACTGGATCACCCCATTCTGAGCACTGGATCACCAGGTACTGGATCACCCCATACGAGGCACTGGATCCACCCCACACCAGGTCACCCTGGACCAAGCACTGGATCACCAGGCACTGGATCACCCCATGCCCAGCACTGGATCACCTCACACCAGGCACTGGATCACCTGGTACTGGATCACCCTGCACCAGGCACTGGGATGATCCCCTCGACCTCCAGGGTCACAGGGGTGCCCACCCACGGGATGCTTGGCCACCAGGCCATGTGGAGGTGTCACCACAAAGCCTGGTGGCCCCGGTGTCACCTCTGTGCCACAGGGCCAGCTCTGCCCCCCTGTGCCAAGCTATAAATACCCAGCTGGGCAGCACAGGACTATATTTGCCTCGGGTTTCCAGGTGAGAGTTCACCAGTGCCCTGGATGGGGACTGTCCCCTGCACGGTGCCACAGTGACCACACTGCCCTGGCACCGCCACGGGGGGCTGAGCATGGCCGAGGGGCACCACGGGGGGGGATCCCAGGAGGGGTTTGCACCCCCAAATCCGGGAGACGGTGCCTGTGACGGCACGGTGGGCACTCACCCAGCTCCTCCTCTGTCCTGGGAAGGTACCTGCCCACCAGCTGCTCCGGTCTCCCCAGCACTGTGCCCACCCCTGTGACCAGCAGCCGCCCCACGCGGGTGCCCGTCACGGTGCCGAGCGTCCTGGCCACCGCCCCGCTCACCAGCTCCCTGGTCCCGGCCACCACCTGCGAGGGCACAGCACAGGGCACCCTCACCCTTCAGTGGCCCCAGCACCGGACCCCCCTGCACCCCCCAGGGGGACGTTACCCTCTCAGGGGGCTGCTGCAGGATGGGCAGCTTCTCCTCCAGCTTGTCCAGCCCTTTGCAGGCCAATTCGTTGGCGCTGGAAACTGGGGACGTGAAAAGAGGTGGGTTAAACCTCCCCCTGCCCTGAGCAGCAGCTCTGCTGGGGACGGGTTTTGGGGCAGCCCAAAACTCGTGGGGTGTTTTCCCTCCCGTCTTCTTGTCCAGCTTCTCCAGCCCTTCGTTCCTCAGTGATATGAACTGGATGTGAGATCGGATGATTCCTCTCCTGCTGCCTTGCAAGAGGTGTTTTTTGGGTACCCCAGAATTCATGGGGTGCTGCTCCCCCCTCCCAGCTTCTCCTCCAGCTTCCCCAGCCCTTTGCAGGTGTATTTGGGGGTGGTGGAAACCAGAGATAAGAAAACAACTTATCTCTCTCCTGCTGCCT